AAGGAAGCAATCTATAATAGCTACAAACAAAGGGAATGTCTCTCTGTCCCTCTAAGAATGAACTCTCCATTTAAAATAATTAATTTTTAATTTAGTTTTCTAGAGCTTTAAGTTTGAGGCGTGGTACAATAAAAAACAAACAAACAAACAAACAAAAAAACAACAACAACACACACTTCTTAAGAACTTAGTTAAGCCAGATGCCAATTACATTCAATTACTGCAGCTGGGTGAAAGACTTCTTTTCTAAGCAAAATGCCTGGAGCATGGTAGATCTCAATAAATATTTAAGGAATAAGTGGGTGCATTTCATGCTTCATTTAAGGCTCATACTGATGAAGGGATTCACTGCCAATGGTAAAAAATCAGTGCAGGGTTGCTAATACTTACTGGTGCTGAGAGGACTGCACGGGCCTCTGGAGGGGCTGATTCTTAGAGGGGCTGTGGTTCTGGGACTGTGTTCCAGGAAGCAGGGGCAGGAATCTTACTCTCATGGGTCCACAGGGATGACAGTGTATCTATCTCGATTCTGAGACAAACTTCATCTTCAGAAAAATGTGAATGTTCTATTGCCAGTATTTTCCTCACAACTGTTTAAGATATTTTATTTGGCACATTTTGCGCCATGGGTCTCGGCAGCGTTGGCTGTAATTTGGTGGCTGTCACTCCGGGGTGGTGGCAGGGCTTGTGTCCCACTTGGGGGAAGCCAAGTGCTGCTTTGTGGGTGCCAGATCCATAGTGCTGTTTTTCTGTAAATGGCCAGTGTGCGTCAGGGAAGCTCCTGCATTGAGCAACTGTCCCCCTCGTGGTCAGTATGCATCATAACAACCAGTTGGAAGGTGGGAGGGACACTTAGCATATTAGCCTTTTTTATATATAGCTATTTTACTTCATTCTGGAGTGTACATTTAACTGTCTGCCAGGACAAGGGAACCTGCCTATCTGAGAGTTGATACTAGAAGAGGATGGAAAATTCTTCATACAATATATTGGGAAAATAGGGTACTCGGTCATAAAAGACAGGGTTTTGTTTGTTTTGTTCTTTAATGTGGAGGGGGAAAGAGGGAAAGTTATCTGAACTCAGGATGGGAAGGGATGTGGTTAATCCTTCCTCTCTTCTTATTCCTAATAGTCACTTCTTATTCTTTTCAAAAAATATATTTTTATTAATTTCAGAGAAAGGAAGGGAGAAGGAGACAGAGATAGAAACATCAATGATGAGAGAGAAAATCATTGACTGGCTGCTCCTGCATGACCCCTACTGGACATGGAGCTGGAAATCGTGGCATGTGCCCTAATAGGGAATCCAACCATGACCTCCTGGTTCATGGGGTGACACTCAACCACTGAATCATACCGTCTAGGCTAAAATGCAGATTCTTTTTTTTTAAATATATTTTTATTAATTTCAGAGAGGAAGGGAGAGGAAGAGAGAGATAGAAACATCAAAGATTAGAGAGAATCATTGATTGGCTGCCTCCTGCACATCCCCTACTGGGGATCGAGCCACAACCAGGGCATGTGCTCTTAACTGGAATTGAACCCTGGACTCTTCAGTCCTCAGGCTGACGTTCTATCCACTGAGCCAAAATGGCAAGGGCAAAAAATGCAGATTCTGAAGCAGTCACTGACTAAAGATAATGATATCTCAAAAGCCTGAATCAAAAGAAGCCAGGGGTGAATTTAGGTTCATTTCCTGTGGCAATTCAATCCAGCACAGTGGCCACTGGGAGCACTGCAGATAAGGATAAGGATGCTGAGGTGGCATCCCAACTTAAGACGGGAGAATTTAAAGGATGTGGCTGATAATGGAGGAAATAAAATGGAGTGAAGCATTGCTAAGAAAGTCACTTAAAATAGAGTTGGGTAGTCACTGAGGAAGTGGGGCCTATGCATATGTCACATGTCAGTTCTCAGAACAGCTATTGAGTTGCTAAACTCAACTCAAGGCCAAGCCATAACCGCCTGGAAAAGCAACTGCTGCCTGGATTTAACTTCCTCTTGGTAGTTTCTGCCAACCTCATTTGCATATTGGAACTAACCAATCCCGATTAACCTCGCCAGCAATCCTTCATTTACCTGGGGGACCTAAATGGAAACTGCACTTGTTTTTTTTCTTTAAAAACCCCGCCTTTCTTTGTTCTCTTCGGAGTGCAATTTGGATTGCTACCTAAATCTGTGCCTACAGGATTGCATTCCTTTTTGCTCAAATTAATGCTTATTGTAAACTTCTTCTTTAGTTAACATGTCCCAGGACAGGCATTTGTAACAAGCTCCCTGTGTGTCTTTATTTTTTTTTTAAAGTATATTTTATTGATTTTTTACAGAGAGGAAGGGAGAGAGATAGAGAGTTAGAAACATCGATGAGAGAGAAACATCAATCAGCTGCCTCCTGCACATCTCCCACTGGGGATGTGCCCGCAACCCAGGTACATGCCCCTCACCGGAATTGAACCCGGGACCCATCAGTCCGCAGGTCGATGCTCTATCCACTGAGCCAAACCGGTTTCGGCTCCCTGTGTGTCTTTACACACTAAAATTGTGAACCGAAGATCTATATCATGCTACCTCTCTTAAATTTAATCAGTAGCAAATAGCTCCTTATAGTGTGTACATGCCTACTCAATTTCATACTCATAATAATTATTAATTGGGCACTTACTCTCCAACAGCAACTTTTATAATTATTAACATACATTCCTTAATCTTCATTACAATTTTAATTTGTATATGAGGAAACAAAAAAAAAGGGAGAGGTTTGAAATTCTCAAGATCATACAGTTAGTAAATATCAAAGCTAGGACTTAGGGCAAGTATTCTAACCATACCTCAAGGTAGTGCTTAAGACTTAAATAACCTACTTATATAGAATCAGGCATTAATTTTTGCTGGGTAATCAAGATTTGTTTCTTGGGCAAGGTTCATCAAGAAAATGGCGATCATTATTTCCAAGATATCTCAGACATGAAAATATAAAAAAGTTATACGGAGGGAATAAGCAGTTAAAACACCTGGCAACTCAGGTGGGAGTGGAAGATTAGGGGAATTAGAACAGAGGAGTTAACAAGGAAGGGTAAGAGAAACACTTTAGATAAAGGAAATCAGCGTTGTGTATGGTTCAAATTGAGAAAGGAAACCAAAACCAAGTGGTACATAGAAACATTTAAATCTCAAGCAATTGGAGAGACACTCTAGACCACCCATGGGCAAACTACGGCCCGCAGGCCGAATCCGGCCCATTTGAAATGAATAAAACTAAAAAAAAAAAAAAAGACCATACCCTTTTATGTAATGATGTTTACTTTGAATTTATATTAGTTCACACAAACACTCCATCCATGCTTTTGTTCCGGCCCTCCGGTCCAGTTTAAGAACCCATTGTGGCCCTCGAGTCAAAAAGTTTGCCCACCCCTGCTCTAGACATAAGGTTTCACTGTTGATGACCACTTAATATTATATCTAAGCTATTTCCTATAAATTCTGAACTTTTATTATTTCTCAAGTCCAGCGTAGAGTCAAGTAGGTTTGAATGTACACAAGATGACACACTCTGAGAAATGTCATAGAAAATGTTTCATAAAGACCAAACTTCAAAGTCAATAATTTTAAATGAACTTCTTTTAGATGGTAATGAATTCAATAATAAACACAAAAATCCACACCTTTTGAACTTTGGAGATATCACTTTTCCTATGGAAGGTTTTAAAAATAAAATATTGGGGGATGAGGACACATATGTAATACCTTAATCAATAAAGAAATTTAAAAAAAGAAAAAGAAAATATTTTATTTCTTACTTTGACACCCTGGAAATAATTTATTTGACTACTTAGAAACATATATTCCTAATTTATTTAATTATCTATTCACTCAATAAGTATCAAGCATTTACTATGCACCTAGTACTGGTCATATGGCCAGTACACACACACACACACACACACACACACACACACCTGTATCTTTATTGCAAAATTCACTATAAATTTATGGAGGTCAAGTTTAATATAGGGTTAAGCAGGTAGAAGGCACTTGGTAAATACCTGTTAAATACTTTCAAATGTGGTCTAAAGAAAGGAAAAATATTAAAATGATATTTTAAAAGTTTAAACAGATGCCCTTAAATGTCATAAAATCACTTATGATTATTATATTTCATATTAATAAAAGTAGCTCAATAATACTTTGAATATATGCAACCAGGTGTAGGGGAGGATGATGCAAACAGTTTTAATTAGAGATCCCTGTTCTCAATAAGTTTATAGTAGTCTTTGATGCATGCAATCATTTCTCAAAAAATTAAAAGAGTAAATAGTAAAAACAGAAAGAAGCATAATATTGTGTGGGGTTCAAAATGAGGAGAGATCACAGCTTCTTGGGGAGAAATCAGAAATATGTAATTCTGAATACTTTCTAAGCATTTTATATGCATTAATTCATTTAGCTCTCATCATCCCTACAATGTAAGGACTAGTACTTTTACTGATGGGGAAGCTGAAGGCTATGTCTTTAAAGATGTGTGCAGGAGGCTTTGGGGACTAAGGATACTTCACCGGAGTGACATGATTAGGACTGAACCTCAGTAAAACTAACCAAATCATTAGGCTAGGGAAAATGGGAGGCAGAGACACCAGTAAGGACTCTACTTGAAATGGTTTTGGCAAGAAATAGTGAGTTCAAAGGCAAAGATGATGGAGAGAAGCAGTGATTCAAGGGACACTGTGGAAGAAAACTGTCTATAACTTTATAACTGATAGTGAACTGGGGTTGAAGGAAGGTAAGATTTAAAGATACCTGGTACTTTCAAATCAATAATTATGAACCACTAAGCAAAACCTTACCAGATACACCTTCAGGAAGCTGCTTTGTAAACTCGCACATACAAAAACTACCCTTCAGAATGCAATATGAGGAAGAATTTATAACACAAAAATCTGAAATTTTGATTCATTTAATACGAATTAATAATATGAAACATAATGTGTATAAAACAATCTTACCCCTTTGCTGTATTCACTATCTGAATCACTGCTAAGTTCCTCAGTGTTCATAATCTCCAAATCAGATTCTCCAGTTGCAATTGGCACAGTCACTGTGAGGCTGGGATTATCAATAAATGAATGAAAATCACTTTCTCCCATCAAGTATTTGTCTGTGTTCCTTCCAATACCACTTATTTTATCTTTTTCCTTGTGGAAATCGTGATCTTTGTTCATTTCAGCAAGTGTACGGTTAGAGATATCGTTTTCCTTCTTGCTATTTAGATCTCCTGCTTGTCGTGTCCCTTTGGAAATCTTTGGCCTTTTGGAAAATGTCATTAGAATAAATTCACGTACGCTCTGTTTCATGTAATTTATTCCCTTCTTAATTCTGGCCACTGCTATCTGGAGGTTGTTTACATCAGTTTCCTCGTCACTTGCTGTAAGATTGTCTGAACTAAATGAGCTCAATAATAAAGCCAGAAATAGGTTGAGGACCTATATCAGGGTAGGGGTGGAAAAAGTGGGAGACAGGAAAAAAAGAATATTAAGTGCACTTTTCTGAAATAAAGTTAAAAATCCACCCCAGCAATGAAGAACCCTGCACTTCCCCTCGCGAAGACAACAACATGTGAGAGGGGTGATGAGAGGTGCGACTCCTCAATAATCTCTCCTTAGACCGGCTCCTGTGAACTCTGGGAGCTCAGCCACACTCTTGAAGGACTAGACTAGCTTAAGGCGCAAAGAGCACTCCCTTTACCAATATCATTTTCACTCTGAAGTTCATTCCTGCAGCAGGAAACCCTTGGTCAAATTTCCTTTTACGGGCCTCCTAAGCCCCGTTAATGTTTTCCCGTAATTAATATATGTTACCAGTGAGAAACAAGTAGAACAAGAAAACTGTGACTCCTGACTATTGTGCCGAAGTAACTTAGGCCAACTCACTTTTCCCAGAAGATAAATGTTACTTGTTGCAACAAATGGAACATGTCATACTTGCAGACCTCCTGTAATAAAATATTCTGTCCAAGAATTGTGCCAGCTTGCAACTTAATGAAGCTTTTAAAGCAGAGAAAAGGGTTTGCCCACTCAACCCAATTCAAATGAGATAATGGCATGAGGATCTGGGTGGCTTCAATACCAATCATTTTGGCCCTGTCCCTGAAGCAAAATCCTGTTTGTGTGCAAAACCATCTCTGTTTTTCTTCTCTGAGGTAGGGTCTAGGTGAACTCAACATTGTAAAAAATAAGGATTCTCACAGAGGGCTGAAAATGTGTATATTATATTGGTTAGTAATCAACTTTGTAAATTATGCTTCTGTCATCTTTCATTAGCAAAATCTTGTAACCCAAAATAAGTATGTTTAGCTGGCAGGAAAATTAAGACAATATTTTACTGTCTTTCCTGTTATTCCTATATTGAAATAATCAATGTTCTATTACAATTAATAGTTTTAGTTCTAATTAATTCTAAATTATAAAATAACTTGTCATATCCTCATATAACAATTTTCTATGGGGAATTTTAAATGTGTGAACTTCTGAGTACATACCACCAGGTTTCCAATGACCATGACCATCATGTAAACAATAAGGCACATGGCTTGACCAGCGACCTCCATGCAGTCCCACATGGTCTCTATCCACTCTCCACACAGCACGCGGAACACAATCAGGAAGGAGTGGAAGAAGTCATGCATGTGCCAGCGTGGGAGCGTACAGTCTTCATTGATCTTGCAGACACATTCTTTATAGTTTTTACCAAAGAGCTGCATGCCGACCACGGCAAAAATGAAGACGATGATGGCCAACACCAAGGTGAGGTTTCCCAGGGCCCCCACTGAGTTGCCGATGATCTTTATCAACATGTTCAGTGTTGGCCAAGATTTTGCCAATTTGAACACTCGGAGCTAAAAGCAAACACAAAGCATAATATTAATTATTATGCCAAGTTCTAATGTTTCCAAGCTTGAATTTTATTCCAAATATTAAGTTCTAAAATATTGTCATTACCTAGCAAAACATTAATTATTTGTATTTTTAATTTTCATCTATTTACAGTATTTCTGTTATTTTGTTATACTTGCTCCAATATAATGACTATATGCTTTTAAGGAAGTGTGTAATGTTAGTTCAAGATTGCTATGGATGTCTCTTTACATGGTTTCAGATATAGAGTTAATAATTTATTAATCCTTAATTCTATTTTCTGATACTTTTCATAAAATTTTAATGCAGACATAGGGATAAAGTCCAAACTGTTAGAGAAAAAAGCTTTAAAAAGTCTTTAGTTTTTTTTTTGTATTCTTGTTATTAGACAACAATTGTTTGGGGAACAATTACTTAATTTTTAATTATAAAACCCACGAAGTATTGAATATTTTATAATGGCTGAAATTCTTTTAACCAGAAGCTTTTTACCAGGAAATAAATACTGTCCTACAGGATAAAGATATACTTTCTATTATACTAGTATAATATAACTGAAAATATTTTATTATATTAGTATATACAACTGAATATATCTTCAAGATCCTAAAATTAAATATCCATGTGGCTTTGAACTCCTATAGTACATTAGTTACTGAATGAATTTTATTTTATTAGATATCAGGACTTAATCTTTTCTTTTGAGTCAAACCTCCAAAGTTTTTAAATAATATTAATCCAGAAACAAAGAAACATCCTTTTAAATATAGAATATAAGGCAAGGTTGGTCTATATTTACCAGTCTGAATGATCGAAGAACTGACAAGCCATCCACATCTGATAGAAAAAGCTCTACTAAACTTAAAGTCACAATAATGCTGTCAAAAATATTCCATCCTACTTGGAAATACTCATATGGGTCCATGGCGATTAGTTTTAAAACCATTTCAGCTGCAAAAATCCCAGTAAAGACCTAAGTGAAAAAGTACAATGTTTTTATGGTATTATTAGAAGGTATGGAATCAACATAATGATGATACTTTCTTTAGCATTTACTGCGCCTTTGTCAGTGTGCTAGATACTTTACAAATGTATGTTATGATCTCATTTAATCCCGTTAATGAGGTATGAGTCCTCCAGCTCTAATGCAAGCATTGAAGGGGTAAAAAGTGCTAACTCTCCTGTCAGCTCTCATTATCCTTAGATAGCACTTTAGAAAAGCACGTCAAAATTCCAGATAAATAAAACTTTCGACAACTAACAGGCACTCTTTGCAAAAAATTTGTATGGTCAACAAGTTATGCTGGAAGAAAATAAAAAGAAAACATGGATACTGAGATTTTGAACCAGTCTTTTTTGCTGGTCTGACTACTCTTAGAGTAATAAAGAATATGTTGACTCACTCTTTAAAGATTTATTGATAGAAGAGGGGAAAAGTGTGTAATTGACACAGTGGCAGCTAAAGCAAGACTTTCAAAGCTTTGACACAAAAGTGCATCACAAAACATCATTAATTCATGACACTGGTATCAAAGGACTCACTTAAAAAGGCAATAGTGAAAGACTTGTTCATGCATCATTCATACACAAGGCATAATTTGACTCAAAGAAACTGACCAAAGAAATTTCAAAGGGAAATGTTTAGGTCTATAACTACATGAGTCAATTCCAAAATAATGCAGCATCAAGAAGAAAGTCAGGGGCACTCATCAGACTTGGGACTGTGCTGATAGATAAGAAACATAGTAAATGCTTTTTGTGTTCACAGTGGTGCAGTCAACTCAATAAGAAGGTATTGATTTTCATGATGTGAACCTCCAACAGTTAGAAACTAGGTAATCCTGTCTTTTTTTAAAGAGTAATTAAAGGGAAGAAGAATGCTAACTCAGAGAGCAAATGGGGTACAAACATTCTGACTTCAAAAATCTGTAGGCAATTTGGAAGAGAAGACTGAAACACTCGTTGGCTGTAAAGATCAATGGGTTTAGAACCAAGGCTAAAGCGAAATTCCCTGATACAGATGTTCACAAAGGCATCCAGAATGATTCATATTAATGAAGAATCATAAATTGGTACCCTTTGGCTGTGAAATAGAACCTCTTCCTGCTTCATGCAGATTGTCAGGAAGTATTTTTTTTGTTGTTGTTTGTTTGTGTGTTTGCAATAAGGCGTTAATTAAACTACAGTAAAACCAACACTGCACATTTAAAAGATCATTTAGCATTGATTTTCCCAATCGGATCCTATACCTTCCTGAAACCTACAGGTCACCCTCTTGCTTGTCTTCTGTGTCCAGTTAAACCATTTTGGTTCCATAGTATTCTTGCACCTAAGGCTTGTTTCTGCTGATTGATTTAAAACATGATGATGATGATGATGATGATGATAGTAACCACGGGTTTAATTTGCTGAGTACTTACTGTATGCCAGGCTAATAAATTAAGTAGAAAGTTTAATCCTAACCCAACAATGTGATAAATTAAGTATTATCATCATTACATTATAAATGAAGAAATAGTGTTATTTTATAAATGAGGTATTATATTCTACAAATGAGAAAATAAAAGGTTATAGAGATTAACATATTTGTACAAGGTTATATAACTAATAAGAGGCAAAATCAGCATTCAATCCAATATTTTGGGATTCTAAAGGCCCAGACACTTCACCTATTATATCAAAATAAAGCATCCAGAGTTTTTCTGAAAATATGTGGGGTATGTACTTTTAAGGAAGTTGTAATGTTATTATGAAATGGGTAAGAAAGTATCAAATTTTCAAAGTATTAATTCCGAGATACATACTGACAGAAAAAACAACCCACTAACAACTCCAAAAATGGTGACTCTTTATGAAAATAGTGTTATTTATAGACCTCAACACTACTGCAAAATTATTTAACAATAATATCTCTCACCAGAAACTTGACTTTCTACAATGATTCATATTGTGAATTATGAATTTGCATAATTACCTAGCTGTGTATCCTTTTAACTTAAAGAATAAAAAAGAAATGATTTCAAGTGACTCACCAAATTTCCCACAATGAGCACATTTTTGAATTCTTCAGTCATTGGGTGATGCTCCATCGCCATGAACAACGTGTTTAAAACTATGCAAATGGTAATTGCAAGATCTACAAATGGATCCATTACAATAACATACATAAGCTTTTTAAATTTTATCCAGAATGGAGAGCAATTCCAGATCAGGAATGTGTATGCAAATCTGTACCACCAAGGTGGACATTTTTGTCTGGACTCTTCAAGTTCTGGGAGGAACAAAACAAGAACATGAAGTCAATCATCTGTATGTTTTATTCCTAAATAAATCAGCAGTACCCTTCCACACTGAAACAAGTCGTCTGGTGTAGACTTTGAAAATTTAACAGTACTGATTCCATGAAATCATAGTATTATTACCTAAAATGTAACATTACATGGCATTATTACATAAAGATGTAATAATGTAATATTATTTTAGAAAAATGTAACAACCCCACCAGATGTTCATTTACTAGACCAAGCCTAAGTGAGGGGACGGCAGTGAATTTAGTGACTGAAAACCAATACAGCATCTCTCAGAGAAACAGCTATCTAATATGTGATGGTAAATAAGACAACCAATGTTTTTTTAAGGGAAAATATATATTTTCCACCAATATAGCTACTTCCTCCTGTATCCTTAATCCCATGAAAACAATAGGATAATTATACTGTCTCCAGGAAAAGCTCCTGCTAGTTCACAGGTGAAAATAATCCCAGAACAAGGAGACTGGAAATAATTTATGGAGTGACTCATATAATTGATATTTCATACCATTTAGTCCACTGGCTTCTCACTTTAAATTTAGGAGGTGGGTGGAAACTTTGTCAGTGAGGTTGTAACCTTTGGAAAAGGTAGGATCTGGAGCATATTTTGGGGTGAGAAAATGGGAGCCAGCACATTATAAAAATTGTCACCCTTTGACTCCCTTCGAATGCATATGAGGGTTTAACCACTATTATTGACATTATATTCTCTAACCTGCTTTTTCTAGAGCCTTTTCATCCTAATTTTAAGAGATGTCATGGCACATGTTAAAATTTTACAATTTTATAGAATGTGCTCAGAGGCAGAATTTATCTACATTTTGAAGTATGTATCATTTTTTTTTAGAGGGATGATAAACCAGAGAGAGTAGGTCAAGTTTCTAAGATTACATAGATTCTTCATGAATTACCATTAAGCTATTTATCTTTGAAAGCTTGTATCATTCAATGCCTGTCTTTAATCACAAATAACTGTATCCATTTTAAGCACATAAAAATGATCCCATTAGTGACCACTGGTTATTTTTCCATTGCTTATAACCACTTTAAATTCTTTGAATTCTTCCTAAGAACTTCATGTACTGACCAGGATGTATTTGAATTTCATTTGAAAATCTGTATACTAAAGAGAATATTATTACCTACCTTCCACAGTGTTTGTCAGTATGCTTGCTCTACTCATAGCTCTTTGTCTGAGATGGGGATCATTCATCATCTCTTCAGAAAGGAGATAAGAACTGGAACGTCGTTTTTTGTGTATTTGGTTGTTTGTACCCTAAAATATGATTAATTAAAGTTTAAAATATAGAAGTCTAATAAATTATAGGCATGAAATAAAATCTTGCTTACGTAGCTGTAATGAATGATTAAAAGTAGACACAAGGTTGCTCTGCTAAATCCTGGCTCTGCTACTTACTGGCTGCATCACGGGGGAATTATTTGACCTTTCTCTGTCTCAGGTTCATCATTAGTAAAATGGGGATAATCATAGTACTTGCCTTACATTCTTGCTTGAGGAATAAAGAAATTAACTTAGAAAATAAAAAAAATTAAATAAGCTGCTTTTATTGTTATATTACTATTACCATCTCTATCTCTCTGGTCTCCAATGAATTCAGGTAGTTTTACCATGTAAGAAGAGTCTTACATGAAAATAGCCCAAAACAAGTGTTCTTGGCGGGGCCGGGGGATGGGGTATAAAGGGGTAGAATCTCAGTATTCTCTGATAAATCTCTTTAACTATTCTTTGTTGAGGTAACAGCATTAATGGAGGCGACTGTAATGATTGTTTCTTATTGTCAAGGAAGAGCTCATCTGAGCATATGATGATAAATTACTCAGTGTGAGGAGGACAATTAAGACTGATGGGAACTGTAGCAAAATAGAGAATGTAAGCTCCATCTAAAAGTGGTGACCACTGTTTAGTTCAAAGGATTGCTGCCATGCAGGAATATGAGCTCCGTTTTACCAGGGATACTCATCTTCATGTGAAATACCTTATTTCTCAATCTTGGCAACTAATTCAAAGTTAAAACACTATGCCGGTTCAGAGCAGGATAACAATACAAACACACATGCTCACACACATACATATATACAAACAGCTATACAACTCTCCATTCATCATCACTCAATTCCTCTATCAATCTATCTGCTTGTGTGTTATGTATATATGCGTATACACACACACACACTCCATTTACAAACATCTATGTAAAGTTCTAGTATTGAAATTTGTAGAGTTGTTTAGATACATATATATGTATATCAAAATATAGACACACAGGTATAAATATGCCCATGTGTGTATGTATGCATGTATAAGTATATGCATGTTCACAGACATACATATTTACAGGTGGCTTTTCATAGAGATCTCTCCATCACCATGTTTTCCTTGATAGTCTCCACCTTCTGACTTTCCAGCAGCAGAGACTTCCTTTTCCCCAAGTCAGGACAAGAATTTGTTTCATCAACAATTGAAATGAACAATTTCAATTGTTTAATCAACAATTCAAATGAAATGGAAACATTTCATTTAAAAACATGACATGATCTCTGAAATCGATCAAATATTTTACAGATAATATACATCAAAAACAAAACTCAACAAGGCTCTGCTTCCACAGAAATTGAACATGCTCATTTGATAAGGAAAACTGCCTTAACAGAGGGCCTGAAGCTGTGTCATGCAGGACAGAGGTCACATGTGACCTAAAAGCACATGCATTCATTCAAACTGAAATGTGCGTGGCCATGGCTTTGATGGAACTAGATTCTCACTTGAAATGCTACCTTGTCTGCAAATAGGAATACATGAATAAGCAGCATGAGTTCAAAGCTTGCTAGGTTAGTCAAAGACCTTGCTGATATTAAGTAAGGCAGTGCGTGGCAAAGAGAGGTAACCTGGAAACTCCAGAAACTAGAGAGAGCTCACTTTCAAACCTAACCAGACCCTTTAACCACTCAGTGATTCCTAAACTCCAGAAATTGTTGCTTGGTTTTCTTTTTATGTGTGTGTTTGTATTAATGTGCGTTCTGATGTCATATTTTTATTCTTCTGATCAAGGAGTTGTTTTTTTAATTGAAAACAGTAAATTTCATGTATGTGTGGGAAAAAAGCATAGCTGTTCTAAATCATTTCTATGTTACACACACTGTGGTGGTGTAGAGCACAAGCTCTGAAACAGAGGGCCTCTGTTTGAACTACCATTTATTAGCTTCATTTCTCTGTGCCTCAGTTCCCCTTTGTCAAACAGGGACGATACCATCACCTCATGGAACTGTTGTGAATACTAAGCACATGTTTGCTATTCTTATTACTATTATTAACAACTCGAATAAGATCCCTTGCATTTAGGTATAATACATATTAAGTAGTAACTTGAAAAAGATAGCAGAAGGTAGCAAATACTCCAAATTTCCTTATAAAAATGAGACTTATCAACTAATATGATCAGCATTATCATTGCATTTTCTATGCTGACATATATCGTTTATAAATTGTTTTATAAAGGGATGATTTATAATCTTCAAGTGTAATAGTAATAGGTAAGCACCTTTTTCAAAAATGGGGGTTTTATAGTCAGTCCATCATTATGCTGTGCACCTAAAACTAATGTTAATAAATATCAATTTTACCTCACCTTTTAAAAATGGGGTTTTAAATATCTTTGAGTTATATGCCCATAGCACATAGTAAAAGGATTAAGTTAATGAGTGAAAGGTGTGTTTCTACAAAGTATTGCAAAATGCAGAGCCATTCACAGGACAGAGAAGGCCCCTCCAGCAGAAAAGACTGACTGATGCAAGACCAGGGCCGAGCCATGCCTGAGCTATTTAAAACGTCCTTACGCTGTCATCAGAAGTTGCCTTATCTATTATCACCTCTGGCAGAAGCTGTCCATTGGGGAGCATGAGGGCGGAGGGTCCATCAACCAGGGAGACCACACCGTTGCAGTCCACCGCACTGTTCATCTTCCCGTTCACCGGCAGCATTGGGGGGGACCTACTGGCTTGACTGATGTTGCTGCTGCGCCGCTCCCGAGGCGGGTGGGGCACAAACAAGGAGCCCCTTCGGCTCTCATTGCCGTCGAAAATGCTGTGCTCATCGTCGGCAAATTCATTCTCAGACGTAATATCTTTTCCTCGGCCCATGATACTGAAAAGACTTGTTCTGCTGCTGCGCCTTTGAAAAAACAAGGGGCCATGGAAGCTAAGCGGTGACTGCAGGAAAAAGAAAGGAAGACATGTATCTGCTGAAGTACCTGAAACAGAAGTGCATTTCGCATCATTACCATCGAGACCGTTGGCCTGAGGGCCAGTGGCTCGACCTTGTTGGAAAAGAGACACATTTCAAAACAAAGCAATTAAGCAAGAAGACAACTTCCTCCAACCAAGGGACAGAAAGGCTGGAAGAATCCATCCTTTCAGAACCAGGAAAATTACCTGCTGCTGCACAGCTCTCTCCTATTCTGGCCTGCAGTGGCCTGGAGTGACCTGGGGTAGACAATCTCTTTTCTCTAAGCCATTCGTTTTGCTCTAAAGGACAGATTACTTCAAAAAATAATTTGATATCGATACCTGCTATTTAGATTCTCATCTATCACTCCGAAAGCTCTATAAGTATTAAACTCTCCTGATTTATTGATAAGCTGTATGCTTCTTTGCACTGCATTGCTTGGAGCTCTACCGTACATATTGACAGCTCAGTTAAGGCATTTTAAGAAAAGCCTTTTAATACTAGTAAGTTTACAAAACCATAAAATATTAGATCTTGGAAAAGAGGCTGCCTGATACCAAAGAGGGAAAAGTCACATTTATATGACTCATGTCCAGGATAAACATTCAGTTTTATGTGTCTGTAAACCAAACTGAATGCATATTCTTTGGAAGCATCTAATTCAATAAATGTCAGTTTTTACTTTGTAAAGGACACAGCAGCAGGCATAGTGAGTAATAGAAAAAATGCATATAACAAGGTCTGAAGGCTGGGACTGTATCTTTTGTTCCTATGCATATCTGACAGGGTCTTGCAGACTTAACTCTTAGAAGCTAGGAAATTGTAGTGAAGACATAGAAGAGAAGAATAGTCAGTGTGAGTGGGGCACTGAGAAACTGATTGAGGGCAGTGGGGAGGACAAAGGGAAACTTGGGGGATGGGTGGCACCTAACTAATGGGTGGAGAAGAGGTAGCACTATGCCAGAGGGAAAACGTGGAAGAAAATTATCCCACTTAGAGAAAGTACATGTGCTAAGTTACAAAGGCATAGAGCACAGGGCATGTAGTGAGAGTGGAAGGTTCAGTGTACCTGCAGGCACAGCACAGAGAGGTAGGAGATGAGGCTGAACAACATGTGGGTGCTGTTCTCTAGGCAGTAGCTACTCAACAGAGTTTCCTCTTTATTTGATTTCAGCAGAGGGACCGCTTTGATTTAGAAAAATTATTTGGAGACATTGGACAATGGAAAATAAAAATGTCAAAGAGAATTGATGCAATGGTTTATCTTGGAGATTTGCAGGCAGAGAGACCTGAAATAGGGAGGTTGTAGCGGAAAAAGAAAAAAGGGAAAGATAAATTCCACAGGAGCAGAAATAACAGCCTATGGGACTAGATGTTAGTGTCTTTCCAGCTTAGGTGACTAATATTTGGGTGATATGTTACCTACAGTGGGGAAGAAAAGAGCAAATACTAGTCTGAGATTAGTTTATAAGCAATATAGGCATTACAGACCGAATAAAAATGTAAAAGTTAATCTATAGTGTACTTTTTTCATTTCTACAACTGTTCTCACTAATATATTGTGTTGAACATGTGTTTATTGGAGAAGATACGACAATTCCAAAACTATAAGCTCCTTACAGACTAACTGGAAAACTATGTACATCCATATTCTTCCCATAAATGCCCAGCAACCACTTAAAAACATACCAATGAGGTCACTCACTCTCCCCTCCTGAGGTCCCTTCCCTCAGAATAGAGCTTTCTGCTCCAGATCCTAACTCTGGTGACATGCATTTGATAATGTCAGTGGTACCTGATTAGGGGTAGACAATCTCTTTTCCCGGGCTCGCCTGTGGCCTTCAACACCAAGGTGGGAACTTCTTCTCCTGATAGTCTCTTCTGAATCCGAGTTGGACAATTTCTCATCATCTCCCTTTTCTTCCCCACCGGAGAGCTTTTGATTTTTTTTCTTTCTTCTGTTTCTTCTTTCTTTTGCACTTTTAGAACTCAGTTTAGATGTTTCAGAAGAACTCTCAGAGAGGCCCATAATCCGGCTTCTCCTTCTACTTGTATATCCAGCTACTGCCTCCACTATTGCCTGTTGGATCCAGATGTCACACATACAGTGAGTCACTTCCAAAGTTGGGGAAACCTGATGATGGGGGACCTCTCTACCACGAATTTAATTGCATTGCCGCTTAATCATGTCCCTTGTATGAGAAGAAATGTCATTTTCTTCACATTATGGTCAGAGAGCTTACAAAGTATGTATTTATTGCTTCTCCTGCACTATAACAAAGCACAGTTCTGTTCTGGAATTAAACTATTAAATACTATTACTATATTTAAAGTAAAGCAATTTTAAATAATACATGTGAAAGTTTTATTAGGCAATTAATTCTGGGACATAAAGCATAAGCCATGTGATAAGATGATTTGCATATCTTGTTCAGATAATTAACGCAAAATTATCAAAAAAATCAGGCCCTTTATAGCTTAGTGAAGAATAAGTTATCTGAAAATTAAAATTAATTATCACAGAATAATATCCCAGGAAAATGAAAGAAACTCCTAGGAGTGCCCAAGGAAATTCCTGAGATAACCTTTATAGAAAAAACTCCTTGTAAAATTTTGGAAGACATATTGTGAATAAAAATCACTCATAATCCTACATCCCCAAAATAACTGGTATTACTATTTCTTCCAGTCTTTATATAAATAATTTTTAAAATGTTTATGTCTTATACTCAATTTTATATTCTACTGCTTAATACATTGTTATAACAACAGCTTTTCCTGTCATAATATTCTCAAAACACATAATTCTATGGTTCAAAAATACTTGAAGGTACAAAAGTATCATAATCCTCTTAACCATTTTCTAATTTTTGAAAATGTAAATGTTTTCTGATGGCTACTATTATTAAAAATACTGCACTGAACATTTTTCTGCATCAAGTTTCTCTGCATTACAGGTTACTACTCTCTCTCCAATAGGTTAGATTCCTTGAAGAGATTTAACTAGGCAAAACATCAAATGAGTGTTAAGACTTGCAGAATATCTGAAATTTTAGTTCTTCATATAAACCTTCTCAAACTTTCCCACTAAATTACCCCTTTGGAGAGAGGAGTAAGAAGAAATCCTTAAAAATTTGTGACTTAGCCCCAAGTGGCCACAACCACAAGTATAATTTTTTAATAGCTCACATTTTTATCTTAAAAATCTTTACAACATTAACAAAAATTGGTGCCCATTTTTCTTTCTACCCATAGAGTATCTGTTAATATTAACATTAACATTAAAATAATTTCTCCTAAACCTTTCTGTACAATTTTTCTGGGGAAATACATCATGTTTTAGGACTTTGCATAATGCCACAGGCACTGAGGAAACGCAGGGTAACAGGTTTAGGAGAAACAGAACATTCTCTGTGCTGATTATGGGGAAAGTGGACTGGGTCAGACGTCAATTGTAACTCAGTCTGGAATTGGTTCCTTCGACCACTCTAGAATGAAGATTTCAGTTTACACAGAGGAATCTATTACAGAAATCACCCTGGGGAAGGTGGCGCAGACCACAGGCCTCTGCTGTTCCCTCTGCACTTCTACTTCTAGGAAGAATTTTAAACCAAATAACAATACCTCCGCTTCTTCTTGCTCTTTTTTAAGTCGATCTAACATCTGTTGAAATTCTAACTCTTTCTGCCTGGCTTCTTCGATATTTGCCTGGTTCTGTTCTTCGTAGGCCATGGCAACCACAGCCAGGATCAAGTTTATTAGATAAAAGGAGCCCAGGAAAATCACCACAACAAAGAAGATCATGTATGTTTTCCCAGCAGCACGCAGTGTCTAGGGGAAAATGGAAATCATTATTTTAATAACAAAAAAGTATTTTTGGTAAATGATTTCAACTTGAATGGCATATTAAGCATGGGCAAATTGGACAGTTCTGCATAATCTCATGTTATCAAACTATAAAGGGATAAAATTATATCTTCATGGAAAACAATCAGTGTTAAAATATATACTTTTTACTATAAAGTATATAACAATCAATTAAATTTATACTATACTTAGATATAATTCTTGATTATTATTAAATAGAATAATCCTGAAAAAGTTTCTCCAGTCTAAAAATTACTCAAAAAACTAGATGCTTTGCTCATTTTTAAATTATAGGACTAGATAAATAGTGCCTTTTAGTTTTAAAATTTTTCTTTAACAAGAAATATTAGCAATGATGCATTTTGTTCATAAAAGATAATCCTATCATATGAACTTATTTATTCATCTTATACTTATTTTTAATTAACATTTACTAAAAATTTAACAATAAAATAAATGGTAAAAATAATTCCAATGGTACAGATATTAAATGAAAAATAAGTCTCTCCTATCTCTGATGCCTAGTTACTCAAATTCTTTTTCTATCAGTTACTGTTGTTTTGTCTTGGGTAAATTCTTAGTATGTAGTATAATTGTTAGTTCAATAGGTGCATTCACTTAAATTTTCCTTGAAATTCCCATGTTACTCTCCAGTGGTTCCCAGGAATGTCTTCCTCTACATATCTCAGCCAGACAGTATTTCTCTTTTGATCTACATTTTGATCTTTGTCATTCTGACAGGTAAAAAAATTTATGCCACATTTAACTTGCAGAAAAGGTGAAAATCTTTTTGCATACTTAAAAGTCATTTATATTCCTTTTTTCCTGTATGTTTGCATTTCCTTTCTATATTCATTTATAATATTCGCAGAAATTAAATAAACATGAAACAGGCCAAAAGAAGAATCTGTGGCAAATTGAGAAAAGTGTTGACTATCCTTATCTAATAAAAGAGAAACATGGTAATTGGCGTACAACCGCTACCCTTCCCATTGGCTAATCAGCGAGATATGCAAATTAACTTCCAGCCAAAATGGCGACGGGCAGCCAGGCAGCTTGAAACTAACATGAGGCTTGCTTGCTTCAGTGACGGAGGACATAGAAGCTAAAATAAAACCCAGAAACCAGCTTTCAGCGAGCTGGGATCTCAGAGTTGGAGTCAGAGCTACAGTTGATACAGAGTTTCTATAATAGAACCGAAACAACCCAGATACCTACTTTCAGCAGAGGAGGCCTAAGAGCTGGAGCCTCAGAGTTAAAGCGGGCCCAGAATTAAAGAAAAAAAGGTGCGGTTGGGAGCTTCCGTCACCCGCCAGCCTGAAAACAGCCCTCAGCCCCTCACCCAGACTGGCCAGGCACCCCAGTGGAGACCCTCACCCTGAAGGGTTGCAACCCGCTGCAAACAGCCATCATCCCCTCACCCAGGCTGGCCAGGCACCCCAGTGGGGACCCCCACCCTGAAGGGTGTGTGAGCAGCTGCAAACAGCCCTCAGCCCCTCACCCAGGCTGGCCAAGCACCCCAGTGGGGACCCCAACCCTGACGGGTGTGTGACCAGCTGCAGACAGCCCTCAGCCCCTCACCCAGACTGGCCAGGCACCCCAG